ACGGTGAGCGGTGAGGGCGGCGGATCCGGCGGCACCACCCTTGGGGGGGGGGGAGGGGGGCGGATCCGCTGCCCTTCGGTGCGGTTGCAGCCTCGGCGATGGTGGGTGGCGAGAGAACAGAGGATCTGGCGATGCCAACCTCGGCGTGGCGGCCGCTTCCTACCTCCACGCGCCGTGACGGATCTAGCGCCGGTGACGGTGATGGCGGGAGCAGCGGCATGGTGCTCGGCCGACGCCGATGATGGAGCGGGTGGCAGGGTTAGGGTTTGGCTTTTATTTTTGAAATCATATTTTTTTCATGATTTTTTATTTTTGCATGCGGTCCTCATAAGCACCCGCATGTGAAAATCCGTTTTTTGCATGCATGAAAAAATCGCGATCTTTACAGCACTTCTCGTGCAGACGGCTGGCCCAACCGCATGGAAAGATTGATTTTGACAGTTTGGAAAAACCTCTTTCATAGTAGTGATAAAAATTGAATTTTGCTTTTTTTTTTTACAAATGGTTTTGTATATATTGATTCTGATACTTGCGAGTTCCACTTCATGTGTCAGTGCAGAGTTCGATGTATGTTGTATGGTACTCCCTCCGGTTTTATTTTAATGGAAAAAGTACGAATTACCCCCCGAACTATCACGGTCGTCCGAATTACCCCCTGAACCACAAAACCGGACATTCTTCACCCCCAATTAAAGAGCTAACTATTATATGTGTAAGCTGCGAGAAGGCTATAAAGAACCTTATAGCCATCAGGTCAGTTGTATTATTAGCCTTGCTCTAAGAGCAGGTACAATAGCAGGCTATAAACATATTTTAAAGAGATAAAGGAAGAGAGAGAAGAGCAGCGGGATACAGATCTGTAGCCTGCTGCAGCACGGACTCCAAGACGTAATGTGTGTATAACAGGTGGGACCAGGTATTAATAGTATAGTAAAGAGTTATTGTATGAATTGGCTATTACATTGACTATAAATGATTTGGAGCTAGTAGTGAGCTATACTATTAAACTTGATCTAAGAGCAGGTACAATAGCAGGCTATAAGCCAGCTGCAAACATATTTTAAGAGAGAAGAGCAGCGGGCTACAGATTTGTAGCCAACTGTAGCACGGACTCTAAGACGCAGTGTGTGTATGACAGTTGGGACCATGTATTAATAGTGTAGTATGTAACTATTGTATTGTATAGATGAGCTATTAAATTGGCTATAGATGAATTGGAGCTAGTAATGGGCTATACTATTAAACTTGCTCTAACCTCTCTTAACGGAATGACACGCGCAATTAATGCTCTGTTGTGTGTTCCCAAAATGATGTGTGTCTTTCTAAAAAGGATTGCAGGTACACGGAATTCTAAAGAAGGGTCGGACAGAGAAAGGTGGCCAAGGAATCGGTAAATCTAATTGAAGAGGCCTCTCCAATTAGTCTTAATCAGAGACATCCACGTGCTATTACTCTAGGAGTTTTGGTTGCTATTAATCCATTGAGTAAGTAGGGGAAATATTCCTATCATCTATGCTTCAAATAAAATTTTCTCTTAAATTACTCATTCGATTTACAATCCGATTACACCGTTATGTTTCTAATAATTAAATCTTTACAACAAGATCTCACATGATTATATTTTGATGAAAAATCACAAATTACTTTTATGATATGTCTAAATTACTTTTAGATTTCACTAAGTTACTTCTTAGACATATAATAGTAAATTCAGTAAGGTCTAAAAGTAATTTACATATATTATAGAAGTAACTTTAATTTATGCCTTTTTTCATTGAACAAATTATCATATATATATGTGTGTGTGTGTGAGTTACTTTTAGATTTGATTAAAATACTTACTATACATTCATAATGCTCTGAGATGATTACTTTTATTATTATTTTAGTTAATTTCATAATTTGTGCTGATTAATTTAATTTCTAGATAGAGTCATGTTTTTATCTCTACAACGGATTTACTTCAAATGACATCTTAAAGTTACCTTCGTTTTGTTCTAAGTTAAATTACTTTTAGGTTTTACTGAATTTACTTTTATATAACTAAGAAGTAACTTAGTGAAATCTAAAAGTAATTTAGACATATCATAAAAGTAATTTGTGATTTTTCATCAAAATATAATCATGTGAGATCTTGTTGTAAAGATTTAATTGTTATGAATACAACGGTGTAATCGGATCGTAGATCGGATGAGTAGTTTAAGAGAAAATTGTATTTGAAGTATAGGTGGATGGTGCCTCTTATAGACAAACCAGCTACCACTAGCTGTGTAGTTACGTCCCCAAGGAATCCACCACAATTCTTGAACTAATTGAAATGGGTGCTAAGAGCAAGTTTAATAATATAGTTAACTACTTGCTCCAAATCATTTATAGTTAATTTAATAGCTAATTAATACAATAGTTATCTGTGCTCGTATTTATGGCTAATTATTCTTTCGGTGGTATGTGACGTACCCGTCGACAGTGAGACGCCCGTGGTGACATTGTATCTCAAAATGTGTCAGCTTAGTCTTTTGGAGGTACTCAAAGAGGTAGGGTGTACGTGTGCTGTGTTTCTAAAAAATCCAATATTATTGATTGTTTCTGTTTTAATTTAATAGCTAAGAAATAGTGAGGAGACAACAAAACTTATTTGCTTTTTTCTTAAAAAATGTATGGATCAGTGAACAATAGTGTCATGGTTATGGATACCACATACCCAATAGTAATCGACTAAGCTCGACGGGGCCACCATATACCAAGCCTTATACGGAATTATACCTCACATATAGGAGTTTTGGATAAGGAAGGATGAGTATAGTTGTATACGGAAATGACAAGGACTACTCGAATTGTATCCATATTGGACAAGGGGCTATCTATGGGTATAAAATACAAGACCCCCTAGGGGAGAGAGGATACAACAGATCGACACACAAGTCAGAATAGATACCAACACAGGCTGCTAAACATCGACATCAGAGATAAGCCTAGACAAACCCAATATGATGCCTGCGGAGGCCGACAAGAGGGATCTAGCACCATCTCTAAACTCGATGAGTTCGTACTTGAGGAGGAAGACTACCATGCTGTCGACTACGTGTTGGTTATCTATGCTGCCAAGTCGACGACAGCTAGATAGGTTATCCCAAATATTGTACTTGTGTGATTCTGATGAATATAGAGCACACCAGCTTCGGCCAATAGGAGTAGGGCTATTACCTGTCAAATAAGGGGCCCAAACATGTGTAAAAATCCTTGTCTCCATCTCTTTTACCTCAATCTCGCAAATACCTTGGTACCAACGATCTGCATACCATGCAAATACAATAATCGTGACTTTAGTCAGTTCGTAGAGTATATATGATCAAACTAATGATTTTTTTAATAATGTAGTTAACTTGATTCTTTAATTTTAAATTTTATAGTAAATAATCTAATCTATCTCCTACTTAGGCTACATTCGATCTCATTGGTTGAGCTTATGCAGGGCATGAAAAATGATGTAGGTCATCAACACAAGATTAATTAAGTATTAAATATTACAAACATGAAAAAATATATATATTTTTATAAAAATGTATAGAAAGTATTTGCAAAACACGCATAGGTTAATAGTTCGGAGAACATGCTCAAGATAAATGAGGGAGAGCCAATCTGATAAGCACTTTAGAACTCAACCTTAAATTTATTACTTATATACTTAAAAAATATGTACAAATCAAAAGCGTAGATTGAGTCATTAACTGCTAAAATCCTGACTATGTTTTGTGAGAAAAAAATGCAACATATTTTTAAACAATACATTTATATTCATGTTTATGACAATATGTCCCGAGTAATATTTTAATTACTCATTATTTCATCTTGAACTATCAATTTAGGCCCATTAATGCAAATAAAATATATCTATACTCAACAATTATAGTGTGAAATGATACATTTATTTGATATTTTATATTATATTATAGATCTATTTTTGGGTGTTCATGTTTTATGAAGTAATATATTTTTCTTATACTACCACCTTCAGTAAATATTTGACGTTGATCATCATAAAGAAAATAAAAAAATCCAGAGGAAGTATAATAGAAAATCTGGTTTAAAATTATTGTTTTCTTTCGGTACTTTCACTAAATATTTAACATTGGCCATCGTAAAAAAAAATACAGAGGAAGTGAAAATCCAGTTTTAAAAGCAATGTTTTTTTTCCAAGTAGTATGTAGTACGTATATATGCAATATTTGTTTTTCTTTTTTGCTGTATATCATTTCTTCTTTTCTGGTTTGTGGTTGTTAACTCGTACTTACTTATGCCATCTTGGCTTATTCCGGCCAATATTTTTCACGTAAGTATTACATGGTAGATTAGGAGGGATAGATTACTATTTATAATGGATCTAATTTAACGGGGTAAACTAATGGGTTCACCACTTAAATAAAAATTAAAGGCCAGACATTTTTCTTTTTCTTAGAGTTCCTAAGATTTTCTCTATTTTATTAGAATGCCATGTGGTAGCTTGAACTTATGCCTTCTTGGCTTATTCCGGCTAATATTTTCCAGGTAAGTATTACATGGTAGATTAGGAGGGATAGATTACTATTTATAATGGATCTAATCTAACGGGGTAAACTAATGGGTCTACCATTTAAATGAAAATTAAATGCTAGATATTTTTCTTTTCTTAGAATTTTTAAAATTTTCTCTATTTTATTAGAGCGTCATGTGGTAGTTTAAGAGCGATTTTAGAATACCATGTGGCGTTATGAGAGTGTTCATAGGAAGTTTAATGGATTTAGTATAAAAAGATAGATAGATAGATTTCTTCATATTACTCATCCTTGTGCTGTCAGTTATAAAAGTCGGACAGTTTTTAATGTTGACTACGCGTTTTCTTTGAAAAGTCTGCCCGTCTTAGTTGGTATGTCCACATATTATGTACTTATGTCATTTTCAGTACTAGTCACTTTTCTTTTTTTTTTTTTTAAAAAAAAGATGATTCGCTGGAAATTTCGACGACCGGTCAATGATCGAGGTGAGGGTGCAATGTTTGCACGCAGGACGCAGCTAGCAGCTACCGAGACAGTAGAGAGCTCCAATCCTTCTTTCCTATGCTCCTTGTCCCATTTCTCAAAAGCGTTCCATGGCAAATCCATGGAGGATTGCAGCTGTGGGTTGGGGCGTAACCGTGGTAGGATGGTTGATAGCGCCCATTATGAACTTGCTCGTGAACAAATTCGTTTCCTACATCGGCTTTAACGCGTCGCGGAAGCTCCGGGAACTGGAGATTCATACCCTCCCAAAACTGGAGGATATGCTGAGAGAACTAGAGGAGCAGAGGATGCAGAAAGAAGCTGAAGATGATAGATCTGCTGTGAAGAAACTGGAACAACCGTGCGAGGAGCTAAGGTCTGCCTTGTACGAAGCGGAGGACATCTTGGATCTCATCGATTATCACCAAATCAAGAACAAGGTCAATGGTATGTGTCTTTTTTCGATCTTTTTTTTTTCTTTCTAATCAATCTGGATCGATCAAAGGATGGAGAGAGCATGATGAAAAAAATGCGTACGTGCACGACCAAATCAGATTGCGATGACGACATCAACTGGCTGCACTACCTCCAGGACGCCGTCGGCGCTTGCATCAAGCTTTGCACCAGCAAATCTGCCGCGCTGTTCCCAATTTCTCGCCCACCACCGGATTCTACGGATCCCAACTGTAGCAGCAAATCTGCCGCGCTGCTACCAATTTCTCGCTCACCACTGGATACTCCGGCTCCGGATCCCAACTGTAGCAGCAGCAAATCTGCATCTGCCGCGCCGCTACCAATTTCTCGGCCTCCACCGGATACTACGGATCCGTTCCCTCTAGAAGGAGTAGACATTGTACCCTCGCTGCAACGGGTCCGTTCCTTCTACCAGCTTGCATGTTTTTACCGGAACTGGTCCTACGAAGTGATGGGCATCACAAACTACAAGGTACGTTCTGTCAGTCTCCCACAAGCCACATACTCTACTACCTCAATTCTAAAAAGGGTGTAGTTTTGGAACGCTTATATCCAACGTTTTATCGTCGTCTTATTTGATAAATTTTTATAATTAATATTTTTATTGTTATTAGATGATAAAACATGAATGGTACTTATGTATGACTAACTTTTTTTAAAAAAAAATTCATAATTTTTTTAAATAAAATGGACGGTCAAACGTTACACACAGAAATCTAAAACTATACATAAATTGAGGCAAAGGTAGTACTATATGGTGTCCTCCCGTTTCTTCCATATCATGTCGTCAAGAAGAAGAAGAAGAAGAAGAATAATAATAATAATAATAATAATAATAATAATAATAATAATAATAATAATAATAATAATAATAATAATAAAGAATTTAACAAGTTAAATCAATATGTAATATTGTATCACTTCAGAAATATATAGATTCAAATTTATTGTATAATTATTAATTATGAAAATAATAAATATGATTGTTAATTGGGCACATGTTCTACTTTAATTTTAATATTTTCAGTGCTTTTCCTGCTGTACTTCCATTGTTTTATGTTCCTATAAAATTGAAAAGATATGCCATGAACTTCATGTGTTTACGTTTCTTTGTTTTTTTTTCTTATCTGCATTCTGCTTTCTATCAGCCTCATCTTTTCGCTTATACTTATGCTTATCAGTCAAAATTTAAATTTTCAACCTTAAATTTGGAGTTGATTTGGGGGTTTTTCATCGAAGTTTACTTTTCAGCATTTACTTTTAAATCGCTAAGAACACATATATAAAAGTTTTATCTACAAATTACTTTTCGTTTACAAATATGACGTACCATGGGACCTATGTTTCTTCTTATGTTGCATTGTAAAGGAGAACTAAGAGTCTTTGAAGGAAAGTAAACCCAAAATATCAAGAAATGCGGATCATATATTTTCAACAATCAGCTTGTGTAATCATTTGAGGCTTTGTTTCTTGCAGGGGAGTGATTCTTTCCTGACTATTTGTGCCAAAAGGAAGTTGAGGAAAAGAATAGAAGCGATAGAAGAAATTTTGAACGACTGGAAACATCTTTGCACCGAATCGCATCAATCACATCTCTCGAACCAGGAAAGAAGCAGTAGATGGAATACAATTTCCAGCAATTACAGGCAGAGCATTAAACCTGTTACTAAACCAACGGTATTCGGTCGAGATGAGGAGCGTGAGGTCATTCATAGGATTCTCCGTGAGGGACCAGATGATCATGCAGCAAGCTCCAGTAACAGTAAGTGTTATCGTGTGATTTGCATACATGGCATTGCAGGATCTGGCAAGACTACCCTGGCACAATATGTTTGTGACTACGAAAAAGAGGATAAAGACAAATATTTCGACCCTATCATTCTCATTCATGTTTCTGAGACATTGAGAGCAGACTACATATTTCATGATATGCTTGAGGAGATCACAGAAAACCGGCATTCCAGTATTACTGATCGTAGAGAACTACAAAATAAGCTGAAGAAGGAATTAAGAGGCAAACGTTTCTTGTTGGTATTGGATGATGTCAATGATAAGAATGACCAGGAGCAGCGAGATTTACTTTCTCCACTTGATGTTGGGAAGAGAGGAAGCAGAATCCTAGTGACAGCTAGAAGAACAGATGTAGCTCTACGAGCTAATAGATATATTCAAATATCTGATTTGGACAAGGAGATATACTTTTCAATGTTCATGCATTACGCACTAGAAGGCACAAGCTTTGATGATCGAGATTTTATACCACTTGGGAGAAAAATTGCAGAAAAGCTACAAAGGTCACCTATTGCAGCAGTAATAGTGGGTGTCCGGCTTAAGCAAAACCCAGATATCACTTATTGGAGAGCAACATCAAACCTCGACGTGTTGAATTCTACCACAGGAGCTCTGCTCTGGAGCTATCAACAGCTTGATATGGATGTCAGGAGATGCTTTGAATTCTATAGCATATTTCCTAGAAGATATGAGTTGGAACGAGAGAGACTTATTAGCATGTGGATAGCACAGGGTTTGGTGAAGACAACCAATGCAAGAGAGGAGGATATGGAAGATGTCGGCGAGCTCTACTTTCATGAACTGCAGGTGTGCTCATTTCTTCAGCTAAAAAGGAAGGTTAATTCTGACACTAGTTCTGGGGAGTACTTCACGGCTCATGATTCGTTGTATGACGTAGCAAAGATGGTTGCTGGCAGCGACCGTGTTGAAATCAAGAAAGGCATTGTACAACATATTTCGAAATATGTTCGCCATGTTTGTATAATGTTCTACGATGAAGTATTCCCCGAGCAGATTTTGGAGCTGGCAAACTTGCGCACACTAATCATGTGCTATTCCATAAAGGAGATGAGTAAAAACGACTTTGAGCGTGTGCTGATGAGGCTAAGGAAATTGCGGGTGGTGTACTTGGACTTGCAAGATATGAGGACGGTCCCAGCATGTATTGGTGAACTAAAACATCTTCGTTATCTTGGTATTTCGCCATCCCTTAATTACAACGACATCACTTTGCCAGCCGAATTTGCCAAGCTTTACCATCTCCACGAGTTTTCGGTCACACCTTTCGTTAATTTGCAGTTTTCCTCCCCGGCGAAAATGGGGAACCTTGTCAATTTGCGGTATATGCACACGTGGAAAGGCTTGGACATTCCCAACATAGGGAGACTGAAATCGCTCCGAAATCTGTTTCGCTTCACTGTGAGGAAAGAGAAGGGATATGAGATACACCAGCTGGAATACCTGAACAACCTTCGTGGCAGGATGTTCATTGACTGTCTTGATAATATAAGAAGCAAAGAGGAGGCTGTTCGAGCCAGGCTAGCTGACAAGAGGCATATAACTGATCTGACGCTAAGTTGGGGTGGTGACGAACGCTCCGCATCAAGAACTGCACCTGTAACGGAGATGAGCAGCGGTCCAGAGCTTCAAATGCAAGCTGAGGTCCTTGAGGAGCTCCATCCACCAGCCTGGATTACATCCCTTTGCATCAGGGAATATAATGGTACGACATACCCAAGTTGGTTGTCAGTAAAAGGGGTCGTGCAGCAGGGAGAATTCCCGGCCGCATTGCAAATCCTTATGTTCTGGAGTTGTAAAGGCTCGAATAACCCACCCATGATTGGTGAGCGTTTCGGTCTTCTGCATCACCTCTCAATCACAGATTGTAGCTGGAACTCTTTGCCTGCCAACTTGGATTGCCTGACAAAGCTTGATATCCTGACCATCCAAGAGTGTCCAAATATACAGTCACTGCCGACGCTTCCCCAATCCCTCGTGAACATTGTAGTTTTTCAATGTAACCGCTTTCTCACAGAGAGCTGTCGGATACGTGGGCATCCAAATTGGCAAAAGATCAGGCATATACCGTACCAAAGCATACATTAATTTTGGGCTGTCTTTGAGAATACAAATGTTCACGCATGTGTAAGGAATATAGGCTGTGTTTAGTTCCACGCTAAAATTGGAAGTTTGAAGAAATTGGAACGATGTGACGGAAAAGTTTAAAGTTTGAAGAAAAAAATTGGAATCTAAACAGGGCCGTAGAGTCCTTTACATTCGCTTCGGAAGAGCCTTCCTTTGGAAGGGAGATGACCCCTAAAAGTTCAGTGTTGGAACCAGCTTGGTTAATTGGCAAGGTGTTTGCAAGCTGAAAACTGGTTCCGAAGGTCTAGGAATCCTAAACCTTGAGAAGTTTGCAAGAGCTTTGCGCCTCCGATGGCTTTGGCAGGAATGGAAGTCACCGGAGAAAGCATGGGTGGGTTCTGGTACGCCGTGCGATGACACCGATAAGCTCCTTTTCGCAGCAGCGACATCCATAACAATCGGAAATGGGGCGACTGTGAGTTTTTGGGAGTCAGCCTGGTGGCAGGAGAGAAGGATGAAAGATGTGGCACCGCTAGTCTACGCGGTCTCCAAGAAAAAGAATAGTACCCTCCAACATGCCTTGCAATCAGATCAATGGCTGCTCGATCTGGGATTTCCAGCGGACGTGGGCTGGACAACAGAGCTGATTGACCAACTTGTCACGGTTTGGACCGCCATCCAGACAATAGAGCTGACAGAACATGAGGACGACCAAATATCTTGGAAGCTCACTAGCCACGGTCAATATACGGCAACATCGGCCTATAATGCACAACTACTTGGAACAACGGCCAACAACCTAATTTGGAAGCCCTGGGCTCTTCGCAAATGCAAAACCTTCGCCTGGCTGGTCATTCAGAATAGAGTCTGGACCTCTGATAGACTATCTACCCGCGGATGGCCAAATGGATCCATATGTCCCTTATGTCGTCGGGTCCAGGAGACGGCTCTACACCTCCTCGCAGGCTGCCGCTACACAAAGAGAATATGGGCGACCCTAGCGGAATGGACGGCGTGCAACAATATCCACCCCAACCATTGGTGGCAGGTTTCGTCGGTGTTAGAATGGTGGGATCAAACCACAAGTGTAAAAGAGGCACCCAAAAAGGCTCTACGCTCCCTAACGTTCCTAGTCGTCTGGGAGATCTGGAATGAAAGAAATCGCAGAACATTCCAGCATAAGGAGCTCCCACCGAGTGGTCTTCTGACAAAAATCAAGGACGAGGCCAAGATATAGGCCTTAGCAGGCGCGCATCATCTGAGAAATTGGCTTGTTCCTTAGTTGACTAGGGCGAAAGGTCCTGAGTTTTTTTCTTTCCCTTTACACTGTACAGTTTTCTCCTTCTATATTCAATGAAATTGGCGGCTCACCGATTCGTTCAAAAAAAATGCGCTGAAAACTATGGGAGGTCTGGGATTTTGAACATTGGTTTTTAAGGGTATTAGATTTTTTTCTATTTTCTTTTAATTTTTTCTAAGTTGTTGTCGGTGACATGGGACCGGGAGTATCATGACTAGAGGCTTGAGGCAGACACAATCGCCCACGTAGCCTGGCACCCTCGGGGGGCGTCGGGCCCGAGGGTGATGTGTTCGCCCTCCTCTGTCTCCCCGAGGGGGTTGGACCGCTCCCGCCTCGGCCCCGAGGGCCGAGGCGCCCCGACCCCTTGTGGGTTTTGCGCCGCGCGTATGGGTTAGGTGAGCACAGCGGGGCTCACCTAACCACATTTATTGCGGTTTGGACGAGCGCGTCACGCCGCATGTAACGCAGTGCAGCGCGCTCGTTTATCCGGTCTGTGACCAGTCACAGACCGATCAGATCGTGGGTTAGGTGGCGACAGGCGGTCTGACGCACGCCTCGCCCCATCCCGTCAGGACGAGAGCCTCCAAGCACTCGTCCCTAGCCGGAGCCGGCGTGTTAGCTCCTGGAGATGGCACGTTGGTTCCGGTCAGATATATGCCAGGCTTCATCCTAACCATTACAGGCAAGATATTGTATGAAGAAGGGCGAACATGCAGATTGTTAAACTGACACGTGGTGGACAAGAATGACCGATTTGTAACCGGACTGACTATGGTCATGTCATCAGCAGACAGCCATGTTCCCACGTCGCGCCTGCTTCCGGCGGAAGTGGAGGTAGGTATGGGCCGTCCCATCAGAAGGTCATTCGGACGGCAGCCATACAAATCTCCGTCCATTAATGAAGAGAAGTCAAGTTGGAGGGAAGGGAGGATGAGTCCCGACACAAAAGAAAGAGAGGGAGAGATGGTGCATGTGGTATCCCCTTGAGATATAAAAGGAGGACCTTGCCCACTTAGAAAAGGGGGAAAAAACGATCCCAGAACGATCAGGGGCTGGCAGGCACTTTGTAGCTTCTTCATACACAGATCCACCAAAACACAGGAGTAGGGTATTACGCTTCTCAGCGGCCCGAACCTGTATACATCGCCCGTGTCTTGTGCTTTTTCCATTCTCGCGAACCTTCCACACACAGACCAGGAGTTTAGAACCTCACCCAGGGCCCCCGGCCGAACCGGCAAAGGGGGGCCTGCGCGGTCTCCCGGTGAGGAGCCCCAAGCTCCGTCAGTTGTTTTTTTCAATTTTGCTATATATTTGTCGAAAAATTTTCTCCTAAAAATTTGACAAATGTAAATTACAATACAATCGTAGTATAATTACACTGTAACTTATATAACTTTTACATAATTTTAAACCGTTAGATTTGTTTCAAGATTTATGCAAGTGAAGAAGGAAAAAAGTCATAACACGCACACATGTGAGAGGATTCGTTCCCACGACCTCCGTTTCACCAAGATAGCATGTTACGTAGAGATTTTAAAAGTTACATTGTAATTACATGCAAGTTACAGTGTAATTACATGGTGATTATATTATAATTACATCTGTCAAATTTTTGATTGAAAATTTATCGATAAATATATAGGTAATCATTTTTTTTGGAATTTATGATGCAATAGGTAGAGGAGAAGGGAAGGAGCATGCCCGATCGCTCTCGGTGATCACCCACCCATTAGCCCTCCCCGAACAAATCAAGTGCCTGCCAGTTGGGAACAAATCAAGTGCAAACTCTTCATTATTCATAAAAAAATCATTAAGAGAACACTACTTGTCAATACATTGATTTCTTGTGTTGCTATCACAAGACAATTATTTTTTTATACAAGATCAAAATACACTCATATATATTATGATGAAAACTACGTGTTGATGAATTTTTGCAAACGTATATAGTAATAGTATTCTTATCTCACAACCACAAACTAGTCGATAAGAGATCCATGCATGCATATGTACGACAGTACAAGACCAGCCTCGACGTTCGTGCGTCCGGCCGATCAGCAAGCGCCGACGCGGAAGCCGAAGACGCCGCCGCCGACGTCGTACAGGACCTCGAACGTGCGCTGCTGCACGTTGCCGATGGTGCCGAAGGCCTTGTCGTCGCGGGTGGGCGCGAACGCGAGGCAGCCGCCGGACACGATGCCGTGCGCGTCGAGGTCGACGACGGCGCCGCCGGCGAACACCAGCGCGACGGTCGGTATGCTGACCTTGTCCAGGCCGGTGAAGTTGAAGCACGTGTCGAGAATGCCCAGGGGCTCCGCCCTCGCGTACCGCGTCATCCCGGCTCGGAACGCCGACGACAGCGCCGCGTACGCCGCCGGCGGCAGCCGCGTGATCACCGTGCCGGAGTCCACCAGCGACCCGGCGGCGAACACCGACGGCGACAGCCCGAGCTTCTTCCCGCCCACGGCGATGTCCTCCAGGGCCGCGAAGTAGTACGTCGGGACCTTCTTGCTCCTGAGCATCGGCGTCGTCGCGAACCGCGACGCGCCGCCGCCGCCGCCGCTCGCCGGCGCGCCCAGCGTGAGGAACCCCGACGAGGCCGGCGTCGCCGGGAGGCAGTAGAAGAAGGACTTGCCGTACCTCGCCGCCGTCTGCGACACCGGCGACTGCGCGTCGCCGCCGAGGCCGATGAGGCCGTCGGTCTTGTCGTCCATGCCGGCGCCCAGCTCGGCGTGGCTGCACCCGAACTGGAAGCCCCTGACGACGTCGGAGCCGGACAGCGTCAGCACGTCGGAGCTGTACGTCCCGGTTGTGTTCGAGCCGTCGCCGTACTTGACGATGTACTGGCACCGCGACTTGGCGTCGCAGCCGTTGGCCTCGCCGCTGTCGCCGAGCTGCGCGCACGCGGCGGCGCTGCAGTTGAACGCCGCGTACGTGCTCGACGCGGCCGGGTCGAACAGCGCGCCGGCGTGGGCGTGGCACGGCGACGGGGCGGGGCACGGCTCGCACTGCACCCACGACACGTCGCTGCCGGTGTCGATGACCACCCTCTGCGTCACCGCCGGCGAGCCGAGCCCGACGGAGATGACGTACTCCAGCGTGTCCAGGGAGGAGCCCAGCGTGGTCGGCACGGACACCTTGGACGACTGGCCGTCCTCGCCGGCGGCCGTGCCGTTGCTGCCGGAGAACTTGCGTCGGATGTAGTCAGCTCGGAGCTGGTCACGGCGGAGCAGCTCCTCGTCGGTTGGCCTCTTCTCGCCGGAGTTGGGATCCGCCGGCGAGCATGGGCCGTACCGGTGGCTCAACGTCACCGAGCTCGTTCCATCTGAGGATGACGGAATGGTCGCTGCAAAAATTAAATTTCATTTCTTAGGAAATTTGAACTTTCACAAGAAGTATATTAAAACTTTCACTGCATGCAAAGTATATTAAACTTTCACTGCATGCATGAAATTTTAGTTGCAGAAAGATACGAGAGATTTTTATGGACAGTTCACTACCATTGGGCTCAGAGCAGACGGCCCTACTAGGATTAAGGTCAAGAACCTTGTAACTCTATTCATTTCCTGCACGAGCAACGAAAGAATGGTAACTGCACAAGAGGAGCAGCAACACAAGCGAAACAGAAGTCATTGCTGTTCCTTTGCTTCGTCCTAGGTAGCTAAGGCTATGGGCAAACCTGAGCTAGATAGATGCAGCTTCAAAACCCTACCTTCTCTATATATAAGAATCGGAGATCGATTTTCATCCTCCGATGGGACATCCTCTCGTTTCTTTCATTTCATCTAAATAGTTATAAAAAAATAAAAAAACTGATAACATAGATTAAATATGATATATATCACTTCATAGACGTCAAATTCGACTTTTAAAAGTTGTAAAAAAACTGAAACTAGTTAACATACAATCATAGTTGTATTTATTGTTTTTGTTACAATATGTAAAAGTCGAATTTTAAACTCGCATATCTATGGAGTGATACATGCCATATTAATCTAAATTATCATTTTTAAAAAAAAAAGTATAACTATTTAGGTGATAAAGAGATATTTTCTTGAGGGATGAAAACACCTTCTCATAAGAAACTATCTTAATCACAGCCCATTCAGTTCAGCTGATATGCTAACAGGTTCCACTAGCCAATAAATATTATAGATTATAAAGTTAATAAATAGTAAAAAAACTATGGACCAAGTATAGGGTGGCACGAATTAGAAAGTGGATTGTTTCTGTCCTTCGAGGGACATCCTCTTGTTTTCTTGTTTTATGCATGGTATTTAAAAAATCATAAATTTTTGTTAAAAAAAGTTAAAATAAAAAACATACAAGTTGAAATTCAACTTATACAAATTTGACTGTGATTACGCGTTCTATCCATAGTCAAATTTATTTTTTTTCAATTTGTATAAGTTGAATCTAAACATGTATGTTTGTGATGAAGCGATATATCACATATTTATCTATTTTACTATTTTTTTAAAAAAATGATGATTTTTAGACTACATGTAAAAACAGGGGACATTCTTAAATGAATAGAGTTTCCCCACGAATTATCCATATGCATCTCCATTAACTCTAAAAAAGACAGACCCCTTGACCGAGACTCATAGTTGACCCAGTAAATCAAAGTTCTTGCATTTTAAAACTAGATTTAATTTGTTGAAAGCCATAGCAAAGAAATGCAACCTAGGCAAGATCATCGCAAGTACGTCATGCATGTATAGCAAATTAAATGGCGACGCGCAACCGTTAGTATGAGAAAAATCATTGCTGTCACCTGTCACAGCATTCTCTGTTCATTTTATAAACTTCTTTAACCACAGAAATATTAACATCCCAAAAAATCAGTAAAGCTATTTAAGTTAGCAAGCAAAATATCCCAAAATGAGAAGTTTGGATTTTGAACACAATATATAGCAATTAGAAAAAAAGATCATAATACGAGCAAGAAAGAAAATAAAAAACTAAATAAAAAATATAAATATCAGTAACATTTTTCCTGTTCTAGGTATTCAAAATTCTATCTCGATCTAAATTAAATTTTATTAATGGAGAACTTTTTGGATCACATTTGATATTTTTTATGCAACATTTAATAAGTTCATGGATAAAGAAAGGCAAATCTTTTTTTTTTAAGAAACGACTCGCACCCGATGGTGCAAAATTTTATATTGATATAGCATGAAAGATACAACATTATAACCTTTGGAGGTTAACCGGGAAAAAAAACAAAAACAAACACACCAGCACCGCACGCTGGCAGCTCCTCACACAACCCAAAAGAAGGCGCTAGCACCAAGCCGACCGCCATATGCGTGCGATCACTGCTAAACTTTAAGGGGGGTTGCAAATATTTCCCACATACCGACTCTGTACAGAAGATAGTCGAAGTTTATGGTTATCATCATGTAGAGGTGTTGAAGAGAGGGAGAGGGCGAGAGAGAAGAAAATACACATACTCATCCCTCCTGACAACATGATGATGACAATCAAGAACCGCCAACAATCAAACCGAGAGAAGGCGGCAAAGGCAGGGAACAAGACCTCCTAAGCAACGTCTTCAAGGAGGTCATGACATCCTAGGTGCCACCGTTGTCCATCCAACTAGACTGGTTTTTCCAGCCGATGAGATTTGCAAGTAGGAGGAAGGGTAGCTGCTTGACAACGGCCCAAAAGGGGTCACGGCGCCCGAACACGTTGTCATTGCTGGCTCGGGAAATCCACCCTCTCCCACACCTTCGATGCCACCCCAGAACTCCTCCGCCCAACAATCTCTATCGGCCGGCAGCTCCACCACACCCGGTGCCACTGGGCCACCTTCACGACCGACGCTGCATTCCGTAGTGGCGTAGAGTCGTTACCCACGTTGACCACTATCTCGGCCAGCACTGCGAGTAGCCGTTCCTGCCCTCTGCAACAGCCGCAGCCTTCTCTGTCCATGTCGACCTCACCTTCACCAAATGCCTGCTATAGCTTCGTATCGGCCTCCTTGCCCTTGGGCCCTGGTCATGGTGGTCTCCTGCCGTCGTCGCCCACGTGGGCCTCCTATCGCCGCAAGCCATCATAGCCTCCCGCTATCATTGCTCGTGCTGACCTCCTTGCCACTAACCCCCGTGGCATCTTGTTGCTGCTGCTTCGTTGCACTGGCTGCTCCGGCCAGATCCGGCACAGGGGCAACGGATACACACACGGGGCGACCAGACCTAGCTGTGGTAGAGCCGGATCCGTAGTCTCCACGTCGTCTTCCCTATGCTCCACGCACCAAGCCACTTTCCTCGCGCTGAAGGCGAGGCACCACCATGGTTTAGTCCCGCCGCCGCCATCCCGGTTGACCACTCAATTCTCCGGTGGCGAGGAGAGGGAGAAGAGGGGAGATGGGGCAGCGAGCGCTAGGGTTCAACCCCCTAGGTAACTCTCATGTGCGGAAGAAGGGCAAAACAATTATTTGTATCATTTTTCTCTAACTTGAATGGATGCTTTGCATATGGATTGAAAAACTATCGATCGGTGAGATGGTACTTTTCAGATTTATGTGTTCATTCCCGCAAAAAAAAAGATTTATGTGTTCATTTGCAATATCATTTGGCTATGAGAGAATTTTCAATTGTGTTTTTCTAATACCTAAGTGGCTAAGTCATGCTTATATGCGATGGGATTTATCAAATTTCCTCTTAAAATTACTCCCTCAGCAGGACAATATAGTATGCATTTTGATATAGAAATGTCAAACTTTTTAGAATTTGATCGAGTAGTCAAATTATAGAATATTTAGTATATAAAAATTATTCTAATATTTATATTTTAAGGTGATTTTGCAAATAATAGAGAGCTATGAAAAGATATATAGAATGAGCCCAATGCAAACAAGGCTCGAAAGAACCGAATGAAATACATATATATTTTACGAGGAATGCATGGTCAAAGTTGACTAAATGACTTAAAAATTAAAGTAAATGTACGAAAGGGATAAGATCTTGTTAAATTCATCTGGTGCGATGCTGCCGTCATCAGGGCAGGAAGTGATACATGAATTGAATCGTACGTCCTTGAATCTTATATACTCCCTACGTACTCTACCATTTAAATGCAATCACAGGTTTTTTTACAATATTTAACCATCCATCTTATTTGTAATTTTATTATTATTATTATTATTATTATTATTATTATTATTATTATTATTATTATTATTATTATTATTATTATTATATAATACATGACTAGTACTTTATGCATGATTTTTTAAAATTTTTTTATAAATTTTTTAAATAAGACGAATGGGCAGAGGGAGTAGATAACGTGATTGGTTTACATTGACCGGTGTTCTACCGCTGTTAGCCTGTTTTGATTTTGATCACCAACAAATTTTAAGAGAGAATCTATTCTATACAATTGAGTTTGTTCGAGTTCAATAATTTGTCATTAACATTTTCACTTTCTATAATATATTTTTGACTTTATCAATTATTCTACAATAAGTCATTGGGCCTGGGGCCTTCTTTTCAAAAATACCAAAAATACCCTTATGGACATACAAGGTTAACAATTAATTTATCTCATTAGAAGTTTAAAAAATATATGAAAACTTTCATGTGACCTCCTTACATAACATGGAAATTTGTATAGAATTTCTTTCTTTTTTACATTTTTATTTTTTAAAAAATATAACTTATCTGTTGTATGCTATATAAAATAATTTTTTATTGTTGTTTTTAGTATAAATCATCTTTCATACACTACATAAGATATTTTGTGCTATTTTCTCTTATATAAGCAAATTCTCTCTCATATACCACATGAAAATATTTTCTTTCTAAAAAATAAATATACCAGAAAACACTTGAAACATGTACACAAACTTCCATGTTGTGTAAGGAGGTCACGTGAAAATTTTCTCTCTTTTTTTTAAACTTTTGATGAAATAAATCAATTGTTAATCTTGTATGTCTCAAAGGGCTCAAAACTTAGATTTAGATATGCAAACACGAGATTCCCTGTAATCTATGACGGGCTGTCCCTATTGTAGGTATTCTCACGCCCAATGACGTATTGTAGAATAATTGATAAAGTCGACAGTATATTATAGAAAGAGACAATGTCGATGATAAATTGTTAAAGCCGAATAAACTCATTGGTATAGAAGAGATTCTCTCAAATTTTTAAGAGAGAATTACTGTTTGTGCCAGGTAAAGATGCATAGCTTTATGTGAAAACCTTAGATTGGAGGTAGTCCAAAGGGAAACTTTGATTAAAAAACATGTCTCAAACTACAATTTACTCAAATTTAAATTATGAAGTTTTGGCCAAAGATAATTGAAGATCATATTTAGATACAGCATACTTTCA